GAAAAATGGCATGATCCAGAAAATAAAGAATACACACAATTTTAAAGATATATTATAATCTAAATTATAGCAAAATAAATGCTTCATTGAGTACTCGATGTAATTTGTATATTATTTTAATTCTAGTTTTAATTTACATCAAAATTAAAACGACAGCACGTCAATATCGCAAATTGTAAATTGAACGGCAATTTTTTCAATTCATAAATAAATATTATTGTGAGAAAAATTAGTTCTTAACATAAAGTTAAATTAGGGCTTACTTTTTCACATATTTTAATTATACTATTACCTATACTTTTACTCGAAATTCCTCAAAACCATTTATTATTAATTGCCAAATATAATAGGCATAATATTTTTCGCATTCATTTTAAAATGAGAAAAAATTTTTTTTCTATTTGTGAATAAATCTTAAATTAAAAACATAAATTTTTATCAGCTCATGCCCTAATTATCAAATTTTGTTATTAGATTTATTCAGTTTATAAAATCAAATTGAAATGACTACTGATGTGACTTTGATCATTTAAATGATTAACTTCAAGTATTGAATTTAATTTCCTAATCAATTCATAAGATTGCTGTTCGTAAACGCATGTAGTTTTAATCTTTTAAAAATTAAAATTTTTATGTTTTAATTATTTAATTATTATATAATCGCATTTAACTGATCACATCAAGCAGTAATTTTAGATTTTAGTTAAATATTTGTAACATTTTTTAATTCATTTGCAATTTTTTGAAATGTAATTAATTTCGATAAGAAGCATAAATGGCTTGTTTTCATTATATTTTGTACTCATATGATTGTTGTTTTCAAGTTCTGCTTATTTTCTAATGTTTGATCATTACTTTCGCGCATTGATTTTGCGAGTAATACTTACTATTAGAGTGCTCTCATCACTTCTGCTCTTTATAATAATTTAATAATTAATATTATTTACGTGAGTGAGTGAGTGAAAAATGGATTTAACTGTTTGAGTAAGATGTATTGAAG